GCGGATAGTGTTTTTAAAAAAGGATTTTAATGCAGAATACTTTAAAATAAAAGCAAAATCGCATCTGAACTACGCTACAGGTAGTAACGTGAAGCATGTATTTTTAATTCACTAAGTAATTTACAATTTTCCCCTGCAGATATCCCTTTACATATATTGTCTTTAATAATTCTATTCTTTCGCTCGCGGTGCAATACATCGGCTTACTTTCATGAAGTCACTGCTTTTTCTTTCTGTTCTGTAGTGTCGTGTAACTAAAAGCAAAAACAAAAAAATAAAAATCCGTTAAGAAAATAAAATTTGATAAAAAGCTGCAAACAGAACCATGTACTGCTCCGTAATTAAAGAGCAAAGTTTGTGAAGGTGAAAAAACAGATCAAAGGAAATGCCACGATATAGTCTCAGGGGAATTTGACCGCACTTGAAAAACCGTAACTCACTAGATAATGATGTAAGTGTCAAGTTCAAATGCAAATTGAGTTTCGTTATATATTTTATACAACAGCCGTTGACCTTACGTATGCAAAACTCTATGGGCTTCTGTTCTATTCAGTCACCCTTGTCGTCCTTGTCGCCCACTTGTACTCAAGCAATAAAGACAACATTTCACGGTTAATTTTTTCATCAAAATTTTAGAATTTTATAAATTCCTGATAACTATTCTTGACGACCATACCTTGCCGCATCAAGGCGTTACTTGAACTTTTCACAAAAAATCTCCCTTCATCGACTCAATTTTTGTGATAACAAAGGCGCGTCTTTCGAAAAGCCAAGCGTACGAAGCGTGTATAGGTAAACGAAAACGAAAAGATGACAGACATGACAAGATCGACACAGAATTTGACAGTGATGAAGAAATACACATGTGTGTATATATACATAGTAGACCCTCCAGGTTAGCAGTTTCCTTTTGGGTGTTGCAAACACCATAACAAAATAAGTACACCTCTAAACATCCACGGCAGATATCTAAAGAAAAAACAAAAAAAAAAAAAAGGATAAAAGGGCACATTTTCATGATATTAACTTAATTTCGACTAAGTTAGCAGCATGTGCCTTATGTAGGCTCGACTTTTGGCGCTCAATCATTATTGTTCCTGCTATTGAGTTGTTGTCTATATATGTTCTTCAAATAATAAATTACAGAGTATGGATTTAAAGTCTGGCAGATAACTTACATTACAGCGCACGCCTGTAGAGAAAAGTCTGCCGCAGTTGAGATTTAAGTTCGCGGCCATAGCGGAGCGCTAGCATGTAAGCATTTCTTTGTAGATCGAAAAACAGGTGACTTTAGGTGACCCTTAGGCATAATACACTTGTGCCAGCAGCTCTGATATATGCTTCTTGGTATGGCCTTGAGTCTCGCCAGCGATGCAATCGTTACCTCCTTAAAAATGGTAACGTAGATGAGCAGTAATCACGGCAGAAAGTTTTCTTTTAAAACTGCAGCCAGGCTAAGATGTGCAAAGACCGCTAATGGGGCGAGCCTGCGCCCACGACTTGGCCATGAGTGTCCCTTTACTCTTCTACCACAATTTCCTTCTTCTTTCTTCTCTTCGATTTTGATAATGAAAGCTTACGCTTTCGTATGTCGCAACATACGAACTCTTAGCTACTAACTAATAGCGCAGTCGGGTTTTCATCTATAAAGAAATTTAATTTAACTTAAACAATCAACTTTAACACGAATATACAAACAACCTATTCTTTTCTAGTGTTTTTAATTAAATTAAAATTTTTTAATTAATATTTCCCTCTTTTTTTTTTTTTTTTTGCATGTCTCATGCATTATTAAAATTCTATAATTATTTATATTAACAAGCGAAAATAAAAAAAATTAAGAGCGAAAAAAAGGCAAAACAATCAGAAAGCATATATATCTTAATTATGTCAACTATTAAAAGGCCATTAAAATGAATGAGTAATAAAAATCAACAGCGCCGCCTGTGTAGATCGAACGAAGACGACTTAAAAAGGCACTTTCCGATGAACATGATTAATGAACGATTAAGATTTGAACCGTCATAAAGCACATTAATATACAAATCAAATTAAACTTTAGATTTTTCGCGTTGAAGCTAGCGACGATATCCGCCGAGCTCTGATCTCACAAATGTGTCTATCATGCCTACGCTAATGTGCACACACTATCCATTATCAAAACTAAAATAAAGAAAAAACAAAAAAAAACGTGATTTTTCCGTTAATTTCATTCAAACTATAAGTAGGTGTATTTATGCGCGTGTGTGTGTGTGTGTGTGTGTATGATTTTTTTAATTTATTTTTTTGTAATTTTATTCTTTTTGTGGTGGCGAACCATTGAAAGGCGTCCCTGTGGCACGCCGCTTTACGTATACTTCCACAGGAATGGCGGACGCTTAAGAAGCTGCGTTGCCGCTTTGCGTTTTCTTGTTTTCACGAGATTGTCAGGGAGGGAAAACTCCCTGATTCCCGTCTATAGTCTCGGATATATACAACATGGCACATACAACAGGGCACAAGTGTACCGTGTAATAGAGACGTCTACTTTTCAATTAGTTTCGCAATCGGACCCCACGTTCTATTTGGAGCTTACAAGTGCAATTAAAATTTGAATTGCAACTATAAGGGCAATTAAGACAAGCATTTGAAGTTTGGCCATCACGACCTTAAATCTCGACTCTAGGTGGGGCTGCAATAGAATTCCACTTAAGCCTGGGTTTCGGAATAAGATCGGCGTATCGAATCGAGTTCACTTCATTTGTTTTTTTTTTTTAATTCCTTTTCAATTCTGATTGAATTCGAAATTCTAATTGGAAATCGTATTATGTAATAGTTTGAATCTCAATATTAACTGTATTTGGGTCTTAATAACAACCGTCCATCAATTGCAGCATATACTACGTGATGAAAATGTGTCTAGAAAATCGTATATCGTTGCGAAAGTGCCATACATACATGACTGATGCCTAGTTTTTATAGATCAAAAATTATTGAACATTTAACCTTTGTCAACCTAAGCTAATGATGGACATAAAAAAAAAAAAGAAACTTCGATCTAACTTTTCTTTAAAATTTTTTATTTCATTAAAATATTAAGCCCAGGACTCATTTATGATATTTCAAATTTTATTTCCCAACAAAGTTGAACGTTATTAAATGTGTCATTAACAACGCATTCATTAAACCGACAAGTCAACAAACATCGAAACTCGTGTAAAACAGTAAACGGTATGCGACGGGCATTAATTCATAACTCAGCATAAAATGGGAACAAATAAATAAACGGAAAGTTTTGACATATTTCCGTTTAACCTACTACTGCAACTTGTACATTGCTTCCATTATATCAGCAAAAGAAAAACAGGTGAACAAAAATTTTCGATTTCGCACAACTTTCACCAATGCTGCCGTACATGCGCTAAAACTTTGATGCGTATATTTTCAAATAATAATAAATATTGTATTTATTTGGCATAAATACTGTTTCGTGTTGCCCTTAATACCTCATAAAACAATCGAAACAAAAATATTATTTATATATATATATATATATATATATATGTGTGTATGTACATATATAAATATACATACGTAGGTATATAATATCAACGTTTATGGTCAAAGAACCAATTTTTAAATGTGGCAAAAGAAAGTTGATATGCGACGGCGTGAGTCGCACGACTTCATACCCACAACAGATTATTTGGCAAAAGTTGAATAAATAAAATAATGGCACTGTAAGCATATTCCATCTTCGCTTCATACAATGCGATAACAATTAGATTGGAGATTGATGAATTTTGATGAGTTCAGAAATTTTATACTCATAGAGAAACTCAATCATTTTATTGACTATGCTTAATTGATGTCAGCCACGAGTCCATACTCAGACTCCTTTTTCAATCTTCGTCACAACCTGTCTACCGTACTTTCAACTTTTTCCTCTAAAGCGATCGATTGCACGATTCCTTTGCCAATCACATTCGATCGTTTTGAATGCTAATACTTGCATGTTGCACGTTAAATGACAAAATCAATATACCCTCGGCCGTTAATGATTACAGAACCGCATATCGGAATGGAAGTATTGCCAGTAAAAATTGAAAATATTTGTGTGCACTTATGTGTGCTAGCAGCCGATACATTGTGAAAATGCTTGTGTTAGTCAACTGCCGATTCTCGCCACATAAATTATAGACATTGATTTTTCTCCGTGCTATAAAACAGAAGTGGTTAACGCTAGGAGCAGCATTCGTTCACATTATAAACGTAATGAACGAACCGAAAAACATGGGTGTTTTTTCCCTTCTTTTTGGGAACTACACGTAAATTTATTTCGCATAACTTTATGATTTATGATAACACGTGAAATGTTGATTTAGCAAAAAAAAAAAAAAAAAAAAAAAAAAAAACCAAAAAAAAAAGGAAGCTTTCCAAGTAAAACCGAAACCAGAAATCGATTAGATTTTGTTTTTTCTGTTCTGTTTCGCATACAAAATATGCGCTAAAGACCCAACCAAAACAAAAAAAAAATCTTCATCTTTAACTGTTTATTTCCTTTTCCCTCTTCCTCTTCCTCGTTTTATTTTTTTTTATTTTTATTTTTTTTTTCTATTATCTGTATAGACATAAACATTAGAATTTTACGTATTGCCTACTTTTTTGGTTTACACTTAAATGCTCAACATGCTGCGTACTTTGCGGCTCTTCACTTACGCTACGAGCAACATTTTTGTACAAGATTTATGAGCCGGAATATTGTACGCAAACGTTCACATATAAGGATTTTCTGTCTGTTGCTAACGTTATATTAGCATATGTTAATAGTTGCCCAGAAAAAGAGATAAGCATTTTTTAGGATTTGATTTAAAGGCAATTGATGTTGAGCACGTTATATATGCATACGTTAGCACTTAATCAGCATTTGATATTTTGTTCTTTCTTTAATTTTAAGCAATTTGTGTCGAAAAAAAAAGATTTTTTATTGCATTTGTGGTGTTTTTCATTTGCAATTTCAGCTGTGAGCTCTATGAAACCTAACATGGATACAACAAATTGCATCCTAGTCCAAGATGTCAAATCTCAACCGCATGATCTACATGCTGCAGGCAATGCGAAAGTGAGCAACCATAATGGGGGTAGCCAAACACCTACGGCAAACCCCACAGAAGAGTCAGTACAGACCAGTACCTCAGACCACAGTTCTAGTCTAGGTGGCGGCGGTGGTGGTGCTGGTTTAAGTGTTGGTATTTTCCAAAATTTAGCTCCTTCACTACAACTACAACATCAACAGCAACTGCTATTACAACAGCAACAACCACATGCCATTAATCAGCAACTAGCATCCGGTGTAGGTATGACGACCATGAATGGTCAAATGTACGGCTTAGGTATGGGTGTCGGTCTGGGCGTAGGTGGTGGAAATCTAGCACAAGATGCTACTGCCCATTTGCAAGACCAATCGTACACCGCTCACCAGCAGCAACAGCAACAACAAACGCAGCAACAGTTACTCAAGTGGCCACAGGTCGTTGAGCTAAAGGATTTCAATGAGTTGTATCATGCCAATATACCAGCTTACCAGTTCTGGAATTTAGAATTTCGCAACAAGCATCCGGCATTTGTGCGGTTCAATTTTACTTTACCCTGGGGTGCCAATTTTGCAGTGTACTCACGCCGCAACGTGGCGCCCTCAGTAACCCAATACGATTTTGTGGAGTTCATCAAAGGCGGTCGACTCGATAGTCATTTACGTCATAGACGCAGTATTTTCAATCATTTTCATAATGATAGCTTGCAAGAGAGAGGAAATTTTGAGTATGCGGATGCGTTAGTGAAAATGTCACCGGACTTTTTGCAGCAATCATTAGCAGACGAATTACACTACAAGCATGGCAAACGTTTAACTTTTAGTCGCATTAGCGATGATGATAACGATGATTGGGATTTTAATGAAGACAACGTTGACAATGCCGAAGATTTTGATGAGGGAAATATTAATAATGACGATGCCGATGACAATGACGATGATGACGATGATGATACTGATGACGATGATGGTGCTGATGCCGACGGTGGTGATGATGTATCGTTCGAGAATAACTTTGATATCGATAGCAATAATATTCATTCGCCGACAAAATTAAGATATCATCGCATAAGAAAGCGTTCGGCCATGGGCGCAACGGCCGGTTTAGACGGTGGTTTACCGGCTTTAGATATGGATACGATGATGGTTAATGTTTCTCTTTTACAATATCTGGACACCGGTCTTTGGTTTATATCTGTCTATAACGATGAATTGGTCTCTCACTCGGTCACTCTGATAGTAGAAGAAGCTGAAGGTGTTAGCACCACTTGCCCAAATGATTGCTCCGGCCGCGGCAGTTGCTATTTGGGCAAATGTGATTGCATAGATGGCTATCAAGGCTCCGACTGTTCAAAAAGTAAGTTAATCCTTGCGATATGCAAAACTCATACAATTTAAGAAGAATCATTTTTAACTGAAACTTGAACAGGGTATGATATTATAATTTGTAGTGTTTTTGTTATTGCATTCACTTATACTTCATAATGAAATTTAAACGCATTACTTATCAGTAGCAAGAATAACAAGAACAACAACAACAACAACAAGAGCGATAATGCAAACAAAAAACAAAAAAACACCTTAGAAATAAACAAAAGCTGTCATCGTCACCTGTTTTTCTTTACTTTAGATTTAAAACAACACTAACAAAAAAATTAATGTTGTTTTCAACAAATTTTCTTGTGTGCCAACGGAGCTTTGGTGAAAACGAAAAATACAAACATCCACAATAACATATACACACATATAAAAACATTTCCTCTTTACTTACCTGTAGGAAGTTTGTTTTTCCTTACTTTCCGTTTTCTATTTTTTCTTTTTTTTTTTCTTTTTTTTATTCAGTGCTTTGTTTTTCTTAACCTGACATTACGAAAACATTCAAACAAACAAATAACAAATAAACGAAATCCTTAGTCTCCATGTTTACGTTACATTTCTTCCTTCTTGCTTCTACTTGCTGCAGGTGTTTGTCCAGTATTGTGTTCAGCTCATGGTCACTACGGTGGCGGTGTATGTCATTGCGAGGAGGGCTGGAAGGGTTCAGAATGTGATATACCGTTGGGTGAATGTGAAGTACCGAATTGTTCAAATCATGGCAGATGCATTGAAGGTGAATGTCATTGTGAACGTGGCTGGAAAGGTCCTTTCTGTGATCAACGTAAGTATCGTCCTGACTATGCTGTGATATGAAAAATACGAAGAAGCAAATAAAAATAATAATAATAATAATAATAATAATAATAAAGCACTTTGGTCCACAGCGTTTGACAAAAATCGGGCAAACACTCACTTATACATACATATATATATATATATATATACATTCACTCACATACATACACACACACACACACATCAACATATACACGCACGTATATATTTATTCTAATAAAGGAAATAAATTGCATGCTTTGTACTACTTTCTGAGTTTATTTTAAAACAAGAGTGAGTGAGTGAGTGATAGAGTGAGAAAGATAGATAAAGAGAAAGACGTAAAAAAGCGACAAATTTACTATTAATGTGTTGACGTTTCTCTTTTATTAAAATATTGCTTTTCTTTTTTCCTTTTTCTTCAAGTTTACGTTAAGCCTCTGAAAGACTTTCCTTTGATCTTCAATATTAACTTTATATAATAATTTGTTTTCGTTTCTTTTTAATATTTAGTTTCATTTCTTGTTATCCTTTATTGCACTTTACTTAAATATCCAAGCTATTTAAGTGTATGTATGTCCCTATGTGTGTATGTGTGTGTGTGTGTGTGTGTGTGTGTGTGTGTGTGTGTGTGTGTGTGTGTGTGTGTGTGTGTGTGTGTGTGTGTGTGTGTATGTGTATGTGCACGCGTGTATAACTGTGCTTACCAACTTTTAATGACCACTTGATTACGTGTCTAACATTTTTAATGGTAATAATACATTTTCTTGTTTCTTATTTATTTTTCCTTTCAACCTTTGACTCTTACCCTTCCTTGCCAATCGTTTCGAATGATACGTTGCTGCTTGCGTGTTACTTGTATGCTGTGTTTTGATGATGATACAGATGATTGCCTTGACCCTTTATGTTCTGGTCATGGTACATGTGTTGCGGGGCAATGCTATTGTAAGGCTGGCTGGCAAGGTGAAGATTGTGGTACTATAGACCAACAAGTATATCAATGTTTACCCGGCTGCTCAGAACACGGTACATATGATTTAGAAACGGGACAATGTGTATGTGAACGTCATTGGACTGGTCCAGATTGTTCACAAGGTAAGTACTATTGCTTGCAATTAACTTAAAATAAAAGGAAATATTTTTTTTTTTTTTTTCAAATTCATAATCCGTTGTATCCATCGTTGTTTCCTGCCTGAAAATGCGTCCAGTAAGCCCATAAACAAAGAAAATGAAACTTATGAAATGTATACTATTAATATGAATGAAGCCTCTGTGCAAGCGGTAGGATATGTTCATGTAAACTCTATCAAAGATAGAGCACGACAAAGTCTCTACCCACTAACCGAAACCACGAAATGCTAACAATTAGCAAGAAAGCCTATGAAAGTGATGTTTTATCAAAGCTTACTTTTAATCTTTCCTCTTTGTTTTCAATATTACTTAAATCTTACTCCATGCGATTAGGTGATTTTGTAACACTTTCGTCCCATCATTTTTGCATTTAATGCGAGCCTCGTACATTGTGATAAATATAGTGACCTGTAGTCGTGTATGAGGAAAGAATTTATGAAATTAATTAATTATTGCGAAAGCTATGCTCATTTTGTTCCAACGTAATAAGAATAATTGCATACCGCACGTGGGCATGGTAGCAGCCGAAATAAGTAAAGTCTTCCGATCTCATTATACTAATCAGCTAAACGCAGCGAAGGGCACTAAATATCGTAGGATGGGAACAATATTTCAGATAACAAGTACGAAGGCAAAAAGAAGTACAAAAATTGTAATCGACTGTGACCGATTGTTTTATATCATCATCACCGCAAAAAAAAATGTTATTGGATGGACGTAGTTGATCTCTTTCATTTTCAGATTGACAACTTTTCATTGCTGTGTCTATTTTGGGTCATGAATAATAGGGAAGAAAGACTTTACGTTTCGGAAGCAAAGCTGTTGTCAGTCTATATAGTATTGTGGGCGAGTTGCACTACAAATCTCCGTGCAATAACTTACAATGTTGCTTGTTAATTTGAAACCAAAATTTTAATTTTACGAGAATCATATATAATCACAAAGACAGACAGATGAATCGACAGACATACCTATATGGATTCGGTATTGGTAAGGAACGTAGCTCTGAAATTTTCTTCACCCTTCGATGATGGACACAAAAGTACAACTCTGGTCATATCATGCTTTAGCTGCACGCCATCGGAAGATAGCATTCACTGTACAATATTCACAAGTTACATATCGAAGGCATTCGATTCGTAATATGCAAAAATATGCACCGAAAGTCAAGGCAACACTTTGGTCTTTTCATTTAATTGAGACAATGAAGTTGTTATAAAGTTGTTATGCGTATTTAAAAGATATCCGTTGTATTCGAGATTTGACTGGTTAGACACATAATAATCAGAAATTATCTGACAATTCCATGTTATGTTCATAGTGTGATTTTTAAAATTATACTCAACCTGTTTGTGTCCCGAATAATTAAAAGATTTTCAATATTCACGTTCTCCAATGAAGGTAAAGACCATGACGCAAAAATGTATTATCAATGGGTGGATAGCTTAACATTACCGCTTTGAAATTTACCTAAAGTTAATCATCGACTAAGCAAGTGCCTGAAAATAAATGTTTAAAATTTTTAAATAAAAGCAAATCAAAAGGAAATGATATATATATAGTCGAGGTAATTGTCAGATTTTTGCCGACATTCAAAGAAACGTATCCTGAAAAGTTTGGATACCATGCTTCCCGAAACACTAATATTGCAGCAGAGATTTACTAAGCGAACATGCAAATAAAAGAGCCTAAGCTATTCCGTGAAAGCATTAAATATCTCATGCAAGTTCTTTCTATTTTGCTATTTTTCGCGGTTCACTGCATGTACATATGCCCTGGTTTTGTCGACAACATCTTCCGTATGCATGTATCAGTTATTTCCGTTTAATAGTTACCTATAATCTATTTGCCAGATCAGATTAAGTTCAAGAGTTTCTCTGTTAAATGATTTCGGATCTAGGGTGCTTCACATTTACATATTAACAGTAAATGCTCAATATATTTTAGACTAATTTTAATTAATACGTATATGCAAAGAATATCAACTTGAGCTTAATCGACAGCATCATACTGAAGTCATATAATATAATGAACTGTAGAGCTCATGGCCATGTATTCAGAATTTGATCTAACCCAAGTAAAACTTTCTTCTGTACATATTTACTAAACATGATTTGGTTTTTATGTTTACATGCATTTGCATTTAATTCTATAAAATTAATTAAAATTAATTAATAATAATAATGAAATATTTAATGTATTTACTTATGAACAATACATCCATTCTGATGCATTTATACTTTATAGCCAATATAATAAATTGAATCAATGTTTTTTCTTTTGTGTTATGTTCCACTTCTGTCCCGTCATACGATGATAATTATTATCATGATGATGATGATGATGATGATGATGATGATGATGATGATGATGATGATGAAGGATTTAAATAATATTAGTTTGAAAAATTGGTAAAAATATAACTAGTTTACAATGCAAATTTTACCAATTTATTTCAAACAGGTGTAGATGTTCACAGCAATATTGTAAAGAGTAATAACTAACTATAGGATATTGTATGCATATATACATAAATACATAAATACATACATACATAAATACATACATACATACATACATACACAATATATGTATAATTTTATGTTTGTGTGTGTTCGTAAATGTAAATAAACACATGACGAGTATGTAGAAGAAAATTGTGGTTTTCATAAAATATTTACATGAATACTTAAATATTTATATTGATGCATATATACATATAACATATACATCTGATTGAATGAAACGCATATATATATATATATATATATATATATATTATATTGGTAACGGTAGATATATTTGCATATAAAATTCACTAGTAATTTACATATAATGTGGTAAACGATTGATTAAATTCTTAATAAAATGCTCAAATATACTTTAGATCGACATTGGTTTGATTGTTTATGTCCGGTTTGGTTCGGTTTTCCTTCCAGATACATAACAGATGCATAAAAATAAGGAATTAAAGTATCTATTATCCAAGAATGCTTGCTAGCTGTATGAGAAAATATTAAAGAATTTTTCTAAATTTCATGCACTTTACGGAAATTGAAGACCTTAACATATATTATATATGCGGTTCTAGTTGCGTAAAAAATATTAAGCCTTTCTCTTACCAAACAAAGTTATTGTTATTTCCCATGCTTCAATGTATTACATGAGATGCGAGGTATAAGTGCGAATATTATTAAGGAAATCTTTTAAATTTTCTTAACTAATAATTTTTTTTTTAGGCTATGCTCCTCTTTTTATATCGTGCACCATAAAAGGACTTGGGATAGACTCATCTTTTATTATGCCAATTGATGCAGAGTCATTTTCTGAATTGATCTTAGCCTGTCTGTCCGTCTGTCCGTCTGTCCGCCTTTCCGTTTTGTAGTCTTGTGTTAAATGGACAAACCGCAATTTATAAAGAAATTTTCACGAATTATGGTACGTCGAACGACATGTGTTGACTCAAGCATAAACGACCAGTTTCAATATAGGGCCGTATTTCAAAAAGTCGTTACATGGATGACTATATTGAGTAAAGTGGTCTAGACCGTATAATGATGCGCCGTGTCCCATCACAGTGTTTTTGCTTGTTAACCTTAATGAATCCGTTCCGTAACGTAACGTAATAGGCAGTAGTAATTCTATGACTACTAAGACCACTCCCGGCCAGATGGCGTAATACAAAGAATATAATATTTTGACATATGTCGAACCAAGTCGATTCAAAATACCAATCGGAAATATAAACAATTAAAAATTAGTGATTATAAGTAAACACTTTATCCTTTGTTGCAACAAAACAAAATCTTTCTCAATCGAATTTGCACCTGTGCATTTCTAGTGAAACTAGATTGAAGCTTTACAATTTACTCCACACAAATGATAAGTAATTACAATATTAAAAATGAACCAACTGTCATGGAAATGACCGAAAAAAGATAAACGGTGTGGAGTGTACCGGGGAGCATTAGCTTAAAACAAAAAAAATCGTCATTTGGATTCCATACAATCTAAGTCTATAGGATTTACTTGAACGGATTTCGGCTGAGTCACACTTGACGTGGTAAAATGATTGACATCGGGACGGAGATTAAGCTTATTGCTGGTAGAAGTTGAGTGTAATTGCCTTGCCGTACTAGTTGTTGCAAGAAGTTGTACTGTTGAAAATTTGTGGGATAAGACGTTGTAAGCCATAAGAAACAGGCAGATGTGAACAATTACGTACGTACGTGTGTATTTTTGACTATAAAACTGAAAAATTGGCAAAAATTTATATATCCAATGATGTCTCCTTGATGGCTGAAAAAGATTGATTGGAAGGTCCAGTGTCTTTAAACTTTCATATTATGTAAGAGCTGCGACTACCAAGTTGTCATTTCCGGGTTAAAATCTCAAGTATGGAAGACCAGAGTGCTCAGGCTTGGGCACACAAGACAGCAGCAACTCCCTATCTCTTCTGTTAGTTGACTAGAATTGCCTATGTTATCAGCACAACGCTGTTACGTTATCACTGGCAGAATAGTGCCCTTTTTTTTCGAACGATAATGAATGAATATGTGTTCACAATATTCGTCGCTTGAAGCTTAGTAATCGGACACATGGCCAATCTTCGATTCAGAAAAGTATCAGATTAATGAAAAATGCAATTTTTAATTTAATGCTGCACTCTTTCCTTGCACTGCATAAACAATAACTACAACAACAATAATAAGCGGATTAAGTTGATGAATATGAAAATTTCATTTCTTCCCACAGATTGACCTATATTTGTAATAAAAACTTCCTGCACACAATTACTAAGCGCATTGTATCTGAAATAACCTTTCATAAGGAACATTGTTTTCCTTGAAAGGGACATAGAAGGACTACCTTACGTACATGAAATGCTCTCTTTCTTTCTTCGCTTTTTCTGCCCCACTTTCAGTTTTGTTTTTTTTGTTTTTTTTATACGATGTTTCAATTGA